ATCTTGCCAAATTATGAAGAAGTGTTGCGACATGTGCAGCAGGCAGAAATAAAACATCACTATCCAGCTTGTTCTCTAGTCATTGAACATTAGGAAAACATACAGTTAAGGAAGACAGATAATTTCATGAACACTTAGGATAAACAGCAGAACTCAGGAATGTGATCATCTCACACACACACACACACACACACACACACACACACACACAGTGAGCACTATAAAGAGAAGTAATCACACAGTGCTTTCACTGCTAATTATTTGGCCAGTGACATTTCATAGTTTTTCAACAGACAAACTATTCAGTGAGACAAAAGAGAGCTTAAAGAAGCAGGAAGACATTAAAAGATATTTAAGACTGTTATTTTATTATTATTTACATGTGACTATAGTTATTAATATTTTGAATCAGTTGTTAATTTTAATAATTTTGTTAGTCATTTTTTGTCGTTTTTACATTTATTTTGCTTATTTATTTCAGTTGGTTACCAAGGCAGCACGTTTTTTAATCTAATACTTATATTTTATTTTATTACATCTTTATTTCAGTTCTCTAAAATTATTTTTTAATAATTTTAGTTAACAATAACAACACTGGACTGTTGAGAGAAAAGTATGTCTCAATAACGTCTCAAGGACAGGACATCAAAGTACATCAAAGAGTCTGTGGACATCTGAAGTGAAGTATTGCGGACAGTGAAACGGTTTAGGAAGAGCGAGCTCAGAGTCATAGAAAGGAAAGTAAAAAAACAGCTTCCTGTGCATCACAGCATGAAGCTTTATCTGTGAGGATGACACTGTGGGATTGGCTCTTATTTCTGTCTCTGTTGAAGCAGCATTAATTCAAAAGTGTCCTGAAAACATCATTTTAAAACCATTTGCCTCTAACTATCGGCTGGCAGTGGCACCAAACAGCCAGTACCTGCAAATTGACCTGATTTCAGTCCATCTGAGAATGAACGGGAAAGCACAAACTGAAGCATCATCAGGAAATATAACTCGTAATGTCTTTAGCCTGCAGACTTAATGGCTGTCAATACACACAAAATGGATTTGTGACCACGATCTGCACATGGCATTGTTGTAATACTCACAGGTAATCTGCACAAATTGATTTTCTAGCTCTTAATGGGATGGCTGCACTCAAATTGTCGTTTCAGCACTTAGTCCTAAGTTTTATTTAAAATCCAAAAATGCTGAAGTGCAGGAAAAAGTGTCACTGTCCAAATACTTTCTGTACGAACTCAGAAAAGCAAAGCTTGTATGCATGGTGAATCTCACAAAAACTTGTTCATATTTCACCCCAAAATGAGAAGCATCAAATAAGAACCAGATGTTTAATTGTCATGAAATTAGTTCTGTTTCTTTATGGCAAATATAAAATGCAATGCATTTAGAAAGTATTCAGACCACTTCATTTTTTCATGTATTTATTATGTGGCAGCCTTAAAATGCACATAATTTCACTGCAATCTACAATCCATAGCCAATAATAACACTTTTAAAAGCAGACTTGTAAAGTTTTTACACATTTATTAAATCTTTCCCCGTCAAACACGGAATTTTCCGTTATTCATGAGACAGCGCTTCCCCACCAAATACGAAATTTTCCGGGTTTCTGCGTTCTTGCTGTTATACACTCGGGGGCGCTATTACGCATTTCCTGAATGAGTCTAGAATGTCCTGATCAAAAACACAGGTGAGGAAGATGCAGAAATGAGCGATCTCATATGTAAGTAGATGCATATGGAAAACAATGCGATCATCAACAATAAACAGCATGTAAATGGAAACTGCCTAATGTTGCTGAGTGAAATGTTGATCCAGTAGTGGTAAAGGACTGTGCAAGCTTTGGGGGTGCTAATGGAAACGATCTACTGCATCTTTGCTTTGATCATCGTACTGAATATGATCCAGATGAAGCATTTGATAAAAATGCAATTTTCTCAGCTTTTTGTTCAAAATGTTGCTTTTTTTAATGAAACCTGCCTACATTCAAGTGTTGATTAAAAAATAATGCTTGAAGCTAGAATAAAACAGATTTTTTTGTATTTTTTTTTTAAGTAGAGGCTCTCTTCTTTATTTTGATGTATTGCATGTTCAGATATTCATACAATAAAATATTCTGGGGGCCATGAATTTTAGCGAAAATCATCAAAGATGCTGGCAGTGGCTGGCAACTTTTTTTCAAAAACTCTGGCGGGGAAAGAGTTAAAAAGAAAGAACTGAAATATCACATGCAACTGAAATAATATGCACAAAAATGCAGCTTTATAGAGTATGGAGTGTAGATGGATGTGAAAAAAAAAAATAATATAAAGCATTTTAAATCTACAACACAAAATAAGTGAGTTTTTCTGAATGCACTGTACCTTTTATTTTGGGCAGAAATGGGGCCGGACGTGTTTGCGTGAGATTGATCCAAAAGCAATTTGGTTTCCACACGTTCCACATAGACAAAATCCCTTCTGATAGGACCCAAATAAAACACTTTCTGTCCCTTACACACACTCATACACACACACATGAACTGCTGAAGTCCCTGACAGTAAGGTTAGCGTTACTTGCACTAACACACAGTCTTGTATGTAGACCCTGAGTCCTGCACACAAAGACCCACATTTAGAGCCAGAACCACCAGCCAGAAGGAAAAGGAACAACTCCAAACAAGACACTAATGAGAAGGTCAGTGCTGTAAACACACACAAACACACACTCACAGGTGAGAATCAAGGGCACTGCAGGTGAGAGGACTTCTGTACTAACCCATGCACAAACACTGTGAGTCTAACACTCGAGTTTCTCTCCAGGTTTCCACATGGCACCATATTTGTGGCCTAGATGTTTTGGAAATGATTGTATCGCAAGTGTGGTTATACGTAGAACATTTTCAGAAATATGGGAGAATATCTGTCTATCTATCTGTCTGTCTGCTTATACACACAATACTGTTCAAAAGTTTAGGGTCAGTAAGATTTTTTTAATGTTTTTGAAATTAAGTTTCTTGAGCTCACCAAGGCTGCATTTGTTATATCAAAAATGCAATAAAAATGTTTTAATATTGTGAAATAGTATTAAAATTTTAAATATCGGTTTCCTATTTAAAATGTAATTTATTCCTGTAATGCAAAGCTGAATTTTCAGCATCATTACTCCAGTCTTCAGTGTCACATGATCCTTCAGAAATCATTCTAATATGCTGATTTGCTGCGCAAGAAATATTTTTTATTATTATCAATGTTGAAAACATTTGCTTAATATTTTTCTGGAAACTGATGTTTCAGGATTTTGTTTTTCAGGATTATTTGATGAACAGAAATTTCAAACCGCATTTATTTGAAATAGAATTTTGAACTTATGCAGCATTATAAATGTTTTTTTTTTTTTTTGCTGAATAAAAGTATTAATTAAACAAAATTCTTGCGGACCCCAAACTTTTGAGCAGTAGTGTATTATTTTATTATAAACAGAATATAAATGTGATTTTTGTAAGCATGTAAATAATGTATTTATGTATGTGGTGCAAGGGTTGGGTTAAACAGCCACTTGACGGTTTCTTTTGTTGAATCTGTGTGCCATTTTTATTTTTAACACACACCAGACCAAAGTTAAACAAGTTTTGTTTTGTTTTGTTTGCATGGTTTCATTCTCAATGATGCTTTCACACTGAGCTGGTTGCAGTGTGATTGAGGTCATTCAAATGACTGGACACTCATTTCATCACCATCTATTTGAGTTTATGTTGGAGTGCTGCGGTCATCATAGAAACGGTTACAACACACTCACACATACATGAACACCTCATGTCTTCATCCGGCTAACACACATATATACACATCACTTTAATACACATCACAACCCCTTAAATCCTCCCTTTAGTATCTACAGTCTTAGGATTCTCTTTTCCATTGTGATTCCATTTCATCCTCCTTTTCTTTCTCAGCCGTGTGTGTCTGTATGTAGAGAAGCTTCTAGGGTGACCAGATGGCCGTGATAGAAAACTGCTCTGTCCTCCCACGTTTTATATGCGGGAAACTAGAGGTCAAATCCATCCCACTGGAAAAGTTCATGTTTTTGTTTTAATTCACAAACATCTGGGATGAAATCCAGTGGAAAGCAAATGTTGTGTTGGCCTAAAGTCATTGTTTTTAAGATGACTGGAAATGTAAAGTGTTTGCCAGATTAAAGAAAAGCGAGTCCGCTAAATGTGTAAATGAAAATAATTAAATTATATCATGAGTAGGTTTGTTTTTACAAGCAATTAGAAGACAATTAAATCACTTTTGTTTTTCAGATTTTATTGTCAGAACAATAAAATAAGAGCATCTGTTTCTCCTTAATTTTGTCAATCATTTTGCACATGCATGATGACAGATATTTTCTTCTTATCTCTTCATATTATAAAGGGAAAGCAACAGATATCCCATCCACTTTTGTCCTTTAAGGCTATATCAAATCACTGCATTTTCAGTATGAAATGTTTATTTATAGAAATCATCAAACTAAAGACTATTTAATGAGTAAAGTGAATGTATGTCCATCAAGATATGGGATATGGCTCATAAAACGTCTGGTCATTCTAGTCTCTTTGCACATGTCTCTGATGTTTTCCGTCTCATGATCAGGGTTTTAGATTAGTATACCTGCCGTTTGCTCCCATAACACCTGCTTTTGCTCTGTTGCACATGTCTGTCTCTGGCTGTTTCTAGAATAGGTTTTAAATAGTGAACTCTTTTTCTCACTGTGCTGTTTGTCCTTCTACAGGACAGCCTCTCCATGGCCTCTCCTGCTTTCCTTCTCTCTCTATTTGTAAGTATCCAGGCTCAAGATCACAAGATATTTCCCGTCCCCTCTTACCAAACACAATCACACACATTTATTCTCTGATTGGTTAGAGGTGATCGCTCGCTTGTGTCCAGGTTGGTATGTTAAATGGTCGTGAATAAATTGTCATTATTTATTAAATCCTAATGTATTTTGCATCAAGATTTAATTTAAGGTTTGAATAATTTGTGATACATTGATCGAAAGTGACACTCAAGACATTTTAATGTAATACATATTTTTTTCAAATAAATGCTTTTGTTTTGAAATTCTGTTAACCCTTAAAGAGGTCATATGATGCGATTTCATGTGTTTTTTTAACCTTAAACCGCATAAACACATTTCATTACACCAAATACACAAAATAATGTTCTTTTTAGCAGCATCATATGACCCCTTTAAATACATACCTCAGGTCTTTAGCGACCCGGGACGTCATTCACTACCCTTTCCCTCCTTTATTTTTTAAAGTTAGACGTCAACTTTCTTAGTATTCCTCAGTCTATTCATTATAAACAATATAACAAGAAAAAAAGTCAAATTTAAAAGAATGTTTTCTGATTAATTTTTTGTAAAAAAAAAAAAAAAGTGTATGGAGTTGCTATGTGAGTATATTTTTCCTGCGCAACAATAATTAAATATCTAACGACTCAATACGTGCACAATAATCACATTTATTCCTCAAGGTGGCACTGTTTGATAGGCAATGATGGCGTGATATTTCACTCATAATTACCTCAGGCATAAAACAAAAGAATATCATCAGCAGTATTGAACCTGACTGAACTGCTTGAATGGCTTTTACTGCAGAGCAATTACTGTAAGCAATTAAAAAAAGTGTCACTGTCATTTGATGGTGGATGTGGTGAATAAGCTGCCATCAATCACAATATTGATTTTTAAAGTAATTGAAAATGATAGTTTTGAGAATATGGTTGAGATCGCGAATATGAGCCAGATTATGAATGTAGTGGGGAAATGCGCTCTGACGATGACAGTGATGGCAAAAGCATCTGCTCAGATTGAACCCTTTGATGTTTCAGAAGGTAACAAAATTTGCTTCATTTTATTCTTTTATAATTGTTATTAAAATACGAGGAGAGTTTTATGCTATTGCAGCAGTTCGAGATCCATCCACGTTGGATAGCTATATAGGCCCAGGGTGCTAAAGATCTGAATATGTAATAATGATTGATTGGTTACGCATCCTGAACAAAAACGTGTCAGTTTCCACAAAAATATTAAGCAGGACAACTGTTTTCAACATTTATGCTAATAAAAAATGTTTCATAAGCAGCAAATCAACATTACAATGATTTCTGAAGGATCATGTGACACTGAAGACTGGAGTAATGATGCTGAAAATTCAGATTTCCATCACAGGAATAAATTACATTTTAAAATATATATTAAAATAGAAAACAGATATTTTAAATTGTAATAATATTTAACAATTTATGGTATTTTTAATCCAAGGGAATGCAGCCTTGGTGAGCATAAGGGATGTTTAAAAAAAAAACACATTATATAGTGTGACATAATGGTGAATAAATAATGGCAGTTTTTATTTTTGGGAGAACTTTACTTTTAAATGGTTCGGTTAGAGTTTTGCTCCTTTTTATTTGTGTTCAAGAAATGACACAAAACCTCCATGAGCAACTTTAACTATTAACACATTCACTCCTAAGCACTACATTTTTATGCTCTTTTCACTGTTGTGTAGCTATTCCTTTTTTTAGCCTTGTTGGCCTACTCTTCAATTTCGTGACTATGTATTGCACAGTTCTGAAGTCACAGTCTCTTTAAGATGAAGTGCTTGTTCTAGTAACACACACACTTCCTGTTCTCAGGTCAAACTAGTTAGTTTCTCACACTGATGGTCTGGTGTGTTAGGGCAGTGGATGACAGGCTGATTGCACTTTCTCACGGCTGGCCTGCTTCTCTGCTCTTCCAGGATGGAGGCACCAGAGGGCGCCGCAGTGCCATTGAGGCCGATATGAAGATGAAAAAGTGAACTGAGATGTCACACTGCAGCTGTTACGGAAATTCAGATAGGCTTTATTTCCGTTTTGTTAAGACGTTCTGGCTAAGTTTAGTTACTCAATGCCTCGGTGGCTTGACGCAGCAATTCGACAGTCTAATTACAGAAGGACACAGAAAGAAGGGAATTTTTAAGGGCTTGACCTTCTTTCACAGAAACCCTTCAGTCCTAGACCTGAAAAACTGGTCAAGTGTGCTCTGATTCTAGACTCACAGGACAAACTGACCTTATGTTTATTTGAGTTTAGGAGTTTTGACTTGATGTCACAAATTTAGCTTTCATCACTGGCCTTTTTAAAAAAGCTGAATGTACCACCGTCGTGACCACTGGATGGTTAGAAATCAGAATGTCATTTTCTAGAGCTAAGAATGAAACCTTACAAGCCATTGTTCAAAACAAAGATTACTATCGGTTTATCAGTTTGAGATGATGTGGAACGCTGAACGACGGAGGAAGGAGCAATAAAAGTACACTTTTTTCTTCTATAGGAATGAAGATGGATACAAAGTTTCTTTTAACTTGATTTTTGTCTATAGTCAGGATTATGGACGCTTTGGTTTACAGTTAAAGGCCTACTGTACTATGTTCAGTTTGTTTTCGTTCTTTAAGTGAGACTTAATTTGACATATGTATGTTTAGAAAGAACATATAGTTTTGTACAGGGTCTTTGTGTACAGTGTTTTTGTATATCGTGTCATGAAATGTTTTAATAAAACATGAGAGTCTGCAATTACAAGATATTATTTAAGGAATAATTTATTCAACTTGTGCTTTCAAGCAAAAAATATTAGTACAAATGCTTAAATGGGAGGACAATACCAGCTTGTCCTGTTCAAAGTCACACACGCACACAAAAAAACACTCGATATCCATTAAAGACGTCAGCATATATCAGTGGCGTGATTCATACACAATGAACCATCCTATATCCCTGAACATCAGTAAACAATAGTGGAGAATTGAAACTGAACATTCTGCAGTCTCAACACACCCATCATACTCATACAAAGATGATCTGATCTCACGTGCCGGGTAACCTGACAATAGTGTTTGTCACAAACCTCAAGATATGACAATGTAAAATCCCAGGTTATACATGAATACATATTACTGGTCAAAAGCTCTGGGTCAGTGAGTTTTTTTATGAAAGAAATTATTACTTTTATTCATAAATGCTGGTCTTTTGAACTTCCTGATCATCAAAGAATCCTAAAAAATGTCTATGTAATATAATATTAATATGTAAAAATGTTAAGCAACAACTGTTTTCAGCATTGATGATAATGTTAATGTTTCTTGAGCACCAAATCAACAGAATGGTTTCTGAAGGTTGAAGACTGAAGTAATGCAGCTTTGCCATCAAATTAACAAATACATTTTAAAATATATTAAAACAGAAAAGTTATTTTAATATTTGTAATAATATTACTGTATTTTTAATCAAATAAAACAACATTGGTGAGCAAAGAGGCTTGTTTAAAGAAACTCTATAAATCTTCCAGACCCCAAACTTTTGAATGACAGTGTATAAGCATCAGGTTCTACTAAATATTACTGATATTTTAAGCAAACATAATGCAGTATTATAACAACAGCTGCTCATACTGTGTTAGAAATTTCAGTTGCACAATATCACCTTCTTTAATTGAACTGAACGTTATCATCTACGTTTTTAAACACCATTCAGTGAACTCTGAAATACACTGATGTAACAACAGTTATAATAATAATGTGCAAAATGAGCTTTTCCTAAAGTTGTCCTCTTCCTCCAAGACCTCAGGCATTGTCTTCTCCTCCTTTTTACTCTTAATACCAAACTTTTAATAAAACTCAAGTACAGTAGGAGTGGCAGACGAGTAGAGCTTCCGCTTGATCAGCCGATATTCCCGTCTGAGGCTCAAGACCTTCCCGCTTCTGAACAGGATCTTCAGCGGAGGCCATCCACCCAGATCAGGCTGCAGGACCACCGAGACCTCAAAAGTGGGTGTGAGACTCTGATCGGGAATGACGGTGCCCAGTTTCAGTAGTGTGCCCTTGCTTTCCATGAACATGTGGATCAGCACGCCTCGTATCCCACACGGCTCATCCGTGGATGAGCGCAGGATGTCTCCGGCCACACGTGTGGTCATGCGCCTGGGCAGACGCAGCTCCTGACAGCTCAGACTGGCTCCTTTGGCCTCATAGAGGCACTTCTCAATGCGTTTGGCCAGGTCGAATTGAAGACACGCATCTTCTCCTTCTTCCTCTTCCAAACTGCACTCGGATCCCAGACCTGTGAATGAGTAAATAAGAAGAATACGTCAGGCTCAGCTGACCGGAGAGGAACTTTACGCCTCAGCAGTTTGAGAGTGACCAGTGGCTCATTAGATTAGGATAAAAAAAAAACTAACACCGTCAGCCTCTGATACAGTATCATCAGCTGATCTAAGGACTTTAGTGGGCAGAATGAATATGTTGCAATTTTGGAAAACTGGAACAATGTATATCCCTGCTCATAAATAATCACCTGTCCGATCTAAAAGCTTTTGAACATTAAAAGAAAGGTTTAATACACTATAAGGGTAAGTTGTCACAATGGGGATATTCAGTCATTTTCAAAATATATAAAAAAAAATATATAAAAATAAAATGTAGGCCTACACAAAACACGTGACTCAACCTGACATCAGTGCTCATTGGACTATTAAGCTGGCCTTTGCTTCAGTGTCATCCTGTTTTTTTAATTAAAATATATCAATTTAACATTTGTGAGCTAGGTTATTCCAAATCAACGTGCAAAACCAAAACTTTTGTTACTGAGACAGAGCGCCTAGCTGTGACAACTTGCCCCGGTTTCTCTTACAATAGATGATTTAGACAGGAATAGGATACTTACTTGAAGAGCTGTGTGCTTTCATGAGTCTGCCGCAGTGCTTGAGTTTGTCTCTGTCTGATCTGAAGTGCTGTAGAAAGCTCAGGTTCTCAGCTAGGTTTTCCTGCTCGCTCCTGACGGACATCCCGTTACCGAACACGAGGGCTTGAGTATAGACCATGTTAACGTGATTTCCTCCGAGTGTTTCCCCGACAGCTCGTCCAGCTCTTCCACTGAGTGTTTCTTTGTTCCTTCCATGAATGCGAGAGGTTGAATGTGTTGCTCTGCTGACGGCAGCCGGTTTTATACTGAGCTGTAATGTTGCATCAGCTGAAGTTTGTGGGATGGGCTACATTACGCAATCCCAAGAGAGGTGAAGTCATCAGACCAGACGCCGCGAGTACATGCAACTGAACCGGCTTCTTGCGTTTATGTTATATTATATTATATTATATTATATTATATTATATTATATTATATTATATTATATTATATTATATTATATTATATTATATTATATTATATTATATTATATTATATTATATTATATTATATTATATTATATTATATTATATTATATTATATTATATTATATTATATTATATTATATTATATTATATTATATTATATTATATTATATTATATTATATTATATTATATTATATTGACATATTAAGCAAACAGTTGACAAATAAACATGAACATTAACTTTCTGGATTACATTTTATATATTTCTATTATGGGATTTTAATATTTTACGATAATCTGGCTGGTCACTATTTCTTTTTCCACATTTTTAAATCACCTTTAAGTTTTATTTGTTTGTTTGTTTTATTTATTTACCATGCAGTAACCTATTTTTCTAGTATTTTCTTTTTCTTTTTCAACAATTTTAATCATTTGAATTACTTCCATCTGGTCGACGTTTTCGTACTCCAATGTCTAGATATAACCGTTATAAAAACTCTTTTGTTCCTTTGGCTACAAGGCTGTTAAACTCTAATTCAGGGGACACAACTGTGTGATTGTTATTACTGATGTTGGTACTTTGTTGTGCAGTTTTACCTGTATTGCCCAAAACAAATTTCCCTCATGAGGGACAAATAAAGTAAAGATTGATTTAATGTTTAAAACACAATATTTATTATACTATTATTTATTTAATTTGTATGTAGTATATTAGGTCATAAATATGGCTAAACTGCTTTAATCAGTAGCAGACAATTATGGGAATATTATAGCATTATTATTATTTATTTTATTGTGTTATTTATTTATTGTATTTTACTTCTTTTTCCACAATTTTTTATCAACTTTTAACATTTTTGAAATTCACTTAAGTGGTCCTCCAATATTAATTTATTAATTCATTCAACTGTTTATTTGTTTGTTTGCATGCAGTTTCTCAAATAATATGAGATCATAAACATTACTAAACTACTTTCATCTGTAGCAGACAATTATGGTATATACTATATCATTTTACCCCATTTTTTTGTATTTTATTTACAACTTATTTTTCCACAATTTTTAAGCAAACTTTTATGTTTTTGAAATTCAAAAAGTAGTCCTGCGATGTTTATTCATTCATTCATTCAATTATTTATTTGTTTGTTTGTTTGTTTACATGTAGTTTCTCAAATAATATGATATCCTAAACATTACTAAACTACTTTCATCCGTAGCAGCCATTTATGGGAATATTATGTTTTTTCCCCATTTTTGTATTTTTCTTTTTCCACAATTTTTAATCTACTTTTACCTTTTTTCCAAATTCCCTAGTCCTGCGATGCTTCCTTGCATATTTATTTATTTATTTACTTACTTATTTTACATGTAGTTTCTCAAATAATAGCCTATTAAAGACAATTATGGGAATATTGCTTTTTAGACCCTTGGTTAAAAAAAAAAAAACAGTTACAAACACTGAAACAACATGGAAAAAAAGAATTATTATCCTAATAATTTATCAGTGAGACAAAGACATTTAGTGTAAAGGTTAGTGACCTTTAAATAAACAGAAGTGCCCATATATGTCTTAATCATTGTGACAGGTGATACAAATTGACATCACACATGCACATAAATGCTGATGGATAGAACAAGTATGTGCTGTACTAAAAATGTCCAGAGAAAGACAAACAGTCTGGTCAGTAAAACTGGTCAGTAAAATCCAGTTCAGCAGCCTTCTCTATGAAATGCGTATGACCCAGGAAACATGTTTACACTCTTATTACAATCACTCGTTGAAGCCTAATACTTCAAATTACATTGAATTTATAAACAAACAGAACCTTTTTACCTGTTTAGTTCCTGTTTAGATTTGCTTAATTTACAGCTTTAACTTACTTTTCTTTAACATTAAGTTTCTTTTTCTGACAGTTTTCACACAGAAATGTCTTAATATAGTAAATAATACAATATAGACCAAAAGAAAGCAGATCTGTGACTTAAGTCTGTCTGATCTGCTGCAGGTTTGATCTGGAAAGTGTTTTTACAGTTTTACTGGCATCATCAGCAACTGTCTGTCTGTCTCTGAGTCACGATGAGGGACTTTTCCTCGTGACCTCACCTTTGTTCTCTGTCATTAACCAACCGGTCGCGCTGTGACGTCACATTGCCCCACTCAAGCATGCAGAAGTGGAGAATCATCTTACGATATATTACAATGAGGAACTAGAAGAGACTTCTGTAGAAGCACCTTCCAGAAGTTATGTAAATGAGGGGAGAATAAATGAACCACAGATCTCGTATATGTTTTACTGAGTGGATGAACGAGGAAGGAAAAGTAAACTATTTGGAAACCTTTGACCATGGAGTGCTTTCAGTGACATACACAAAATGGTTGTGTGTCTTCACTGAATCAGCTGTTAAGACAATACATTCATGTGACCTTAGACTAGACTTATTTCAATAAGTATTTGAGTTTTTTCCTCCTTTCTGGTTCACAGCTCCTCACGACTCTTTGTTGATTTTGATCACAAACAGATGATAATGAAACTCGTGATGGTGCATACATTACTGTCAAATCAAAACGTGATGGACATGTTCTTTCAATCAACTGCATATGGATCACTTCATAAGAAAACCCTCAGTCTTTTTCAAACATAATTATTCACTATAAAAAGATGATCAAATGTGCAGAGAGATAAACCATCCATAAACTTAACACCTTAGTTTTCATTTATCATCTGAGTGCCAAATTACATCAGCTCAGCTGCAGAAACCTGATGGACTAGTATATTACTTCATAACAAATATTGCTCAGCTAAATTGCTCAGCTTCAGAGTAAGCACTTTATAGATGATCATTTCAAATGAGCTATCTCAACTGGATAATACATTTGATCTGT